ATAAATAACCATAATAGCTAGTTGGCTTATAACGAGCATAACACGCTCGCATGGCTGCATAAAAATGCCATCTCTTGAGATTAATGTGAAAAGGTCATGCGAGCATTCAGCGCGCGCCACTCTGCACGCATTGGACATTGACCTTCGCCTTCGATACCCTGTGCACACAGCATGATGGCCATGGGGTAGACCAAATCGGAATATTATTAACTGAAGAGAGTGCAGAGTATCCAAGCCTTGGCATCTCGAAGAGAACACTTGCTTTTCGATTACACATATGTATCAAAAGTATTTGCTCAAGTCTTCAGACGCGTGACATTATCACAAAGGACAGATGAAAATTGCCGCATGTCAGCACAGGGGTAAAGAGGAAATTATGTGGACTTGTAACACAGCGAAAAGGCGAATATAACAGGCAACGAGCAACTGCCACCTGCCACCTGCCACCCGGCGCCTGGCGCCTGCCACCTGGCACCTGGGTGATGTTTGTCTTTTGTTTGGTAAGTGAAAGTGACTTTTGGCATGTCTTTTAGTAGTTTTTACATTTGTCTTAATTATGGGGCAGGGGCTAGGGTGGCAGACACTTGAAACCACGCCCCAAGGGCCCAAGGCGTGCGTTACGTAATGGCCTTGGCAACACACACATGGACAGCACTTGCCGTGCTTGCCTCTGCCCAGCTTGCCGGCTGCCAGCATACGACTTGCTCCCAGCCAGCTGCTGCTCAACTTGCTTCCGTAATTTATACACTGTTCTGTTCATGTTTGCATCTCCGAGCACGGCTCACAAATTTGTTACTACGTTAAATGAAACTTGAGAAATGCGTTAACAGACGGCCAGACTAGCACACGGACTGTGCAAGCTGCCTTAAACGGAGTCTTAATTGAATTAAATTCCGCAAGTCACTTTCCGTGCCACATGTGAGGTACACACTTTTAGCATGTGTTTGCTACATTCAATTATTTTGTTTACACATTTAATTGTGAATTTGCATTATTGTAAATAACAATTGTTGTACTTGGGATGCTGTTTCTTCTGTTTAATTAAAACCCATAAACTTTGAAATAATAACAAGACTTTAAAGTAAATATATAGATGCGACTATAATATAAGCATATTTCTGAATATATCCGTGACTTATACTGTCTTAAGCAGTGCTGAGAATAATATATTATGAGTTTATATAAATATATCAAGAATATAACAAATAAGTGAATATAGCTTAGCCAATGAATATTGAACAGCTTGCTGATCGTAGATGATGACTTTTTGAGTTATTCTATGGATTCTTTTAGTTCATAACATGAAGTCCTTACTGTAAACAAATTGATGCATAAGTTGATTAATTTAGTAAACATATAAGAATAGGCCAAGCGAACTAAATTTAGATTTTAATATAATTTTGTTAACATATAAATCTCTACTTAAAATCTGTCTTTAAGTTATTTTCTTTTCTAAATCAATTGAGAACTATTTTCTGATAATATACAAAGATAAATATTGTATTGGGTCCTGATGCGAATAAATATTTGAATTATAATGTTGACCATAGATTTCTAAAATATTATCCAGCATCGAACAAATATTTGAATTACCATCTTGACTATAGATTTCTAAAATGTTATTCAACATCGTTTATCTCAACAGTTTTTTAGAAGGTGTGTTTGGGGGATTATTCTATGATTATTTCTGATTTTATATATTTATTTAATATTGTAAATATATTCACTCATATCAAGAGCTAGAAAATTTGTTCATTTTTAACATTTTTTTTTCTGCCTTCCTTCATTTTCTTCATTTACATATTCAGTTTGTCCTAGCTAGGAACTAAGAAATGTTAAGTACTGAATTCATTTTAACTGTCAGTCGCTTAGACACTTGATTTTTGATAGATTTGCAGTAATAATTTTCGTGGCTTTAAGTGAGGAGTGGTGCAGGTCAGGTCAGCTCGGTTCAGTTCAGGCGGCTTTTCAACTCTTTCAGCTGAATTGCACATTTCCAACACATTTCATATTGAAGTTTCTCGCATCTCTGGTTTTATTTTTGTTGACCTTATTCGTTGCGGCTGCTGGCGTTCATTTTGCACCTGCTTTGTGGCTGAGTTCAGAGCTGTTCGCCCGTATTGCAGGCTAAGTGGACGCTGCCGCGCTTCACTTCCAACTGCGGGGCGTTGAAATGAAATGAATAAAAGTCAAACAACAATGAAGCAAGGATGCGGATTCGCACGGCCTCTGTCAGGGGCTCAGCCTTTACAATCAAAGTCTGTTGCTGCTGCTGCTCCTGCTTCTGCTGCTGCCGCGGTGCTCGCTGTTGTCGTCGCTGAGCAGCTTATTACATTTTTTAAGTGCCCCTGCATATTATTTATTAAATGTGGCTTAACAATAAGAGCAACAAAAAACAGCAATAAATTGTGCTTCAAAAGGTAACCAAGGTCACTTGACATTCGGCAGGCGGCATGCGGCATGCTTCAACTGCCCGTTTTAATCAGCCATAAATATTTTGCAGTTTCCACAATTGCACGGGCACACTTGGCAGACAACAATTTTCACACATTTTCAAAAAACTTTCGCATTGGCCAAAGTTTTTTGTCATCCGTTTTTTGTTTGGGAGCAAGCAAATTTATATACCACAAAAGTTCGCATTGCACATGGGAGAAACATTACAAATTTGCATGCGAATTTCTGTTTGAGTTGATGCAACTTTGTTCAAGAGTTGATAGCAAAAGAAGAGACAGAGGCAGAGGCGTGACTCAACAGCAGCAGAAAAAGCAAGTTCAACTATTTAGTGTTTGCCCCGAGCACATGTAGGTGGCTCATAATGATGATGACGACTAAAACTGCGTTTGTGTAAATGAGCCAAAAATAAACAAACGGAAACAAAAATCAAAACCAACACATTTCACATGTCTGTCATTAGATACTCTATCACTCGCAGTTTTTCCAGTGGGAGGGTCAGTTCTTCAAAGCCTACAAAAATAGAGGAAGTTATGCCTGATCGAAGTTCCTTTATTATGCTGGATCTGGCCGTGCCTTGGCTGCATAGATTGAAACAAAATTATAAAAATACACTTCAACATAAAATCTCAATTTCGCGAAACAATATTTCATTAAAGGAGCAGCAGTAAAATATAAAAATATTGCTGAGCTTAATATTCACAATTTTAATAACTTTTATACTCATTCACGCGTTTATTTTGTTGTGTATAGTTCGTCTTGCTGTCCGTCCATCTGTTCATTCAAGCAAGAGCCTTGTAGTAGATATACTTCCATTCCAGTTTAGAACTAGAACCTCCAAATTGGGCATGGGATTACTGTTGATATATACTACCGACTAACGATTATTTGTCTACGCTTAATTGGATCGGATTAAATAGTGTTTTGTATAAGACTTGAAATTTGGATTATATACTAATGAGTATTGAGCACATCAGAAAATAAAGAGATTTAATGTCTAGAGCGTGAGGTAAATCGGAAAAGTTAGTATCTTCTACAAACCTGAAGCTAAAAATTTGATTTTGATTATTTATTGTAGCTACTGTTGATATCGATGCATCAAAACTAATTATTACGAGGCTTTAGGGGCTTGCTATAAAAAAAAATACCCTGTCAATTCCACATATTTGGAGCCTAAGCCTTAATACCTTACAGTTACGTTAGTGTAGACTCATGCAACTTGTTCAGATCGTAACTAGGTATTATGCAGTCGACTACTTGTTACTTGTGTTTTTCTCAATTTATATAATCTTGTGACTTAAAAAGGTAAAATTCTATATTATATTTGCGAATCTATTTTGATAATAGTTCGCATACGAATAAAGTGGAGAAAAGATAATAATTCCTATAATTAATAGTTGTTCGCTTTCTATATCATTTTACTTATACATGGAAGGAATGGCGTGTGGCGTATATATAGCATATGATATTTTGCTCAGAAGTAAGGACGGAACTTAAAGGTTTCTTTGCTTTCTTCATACATACTGTTCTCAATAGATAGCACTATACAAAACTTAATGGCAACACCTTTGAGTGACTAGCAGTCTGTCTATACAAGTGACTTGAATCTATATATAAGAATCTATAAGGTAAATTATAGGGTAAGAAATGTCCCCTCTATTTCAAGTCTTGTTTTACTTTACTGAAATAATAAGTATACGCATATTCCATACACCGCCAGCTTCAAAAAGCAGTTGTATTTGACGCTCAATCTAAATACTTGTTTTTCAGTTTTATATATTTATAATAAATTAAATTATAATAAATTGGTATGCTATGTGACATGGTATCGAATGGACCCTGTTTGAAGTGTATAAATTGAAAGATTTTCGCATATATTTTTTGTAGCCTTTTTGCGTTCGTTTTTCTAACATTTTGTGACATGATTCTTGTTTGTTTTCTCAAGTCTGGTGGCGACGTAGCTTTTTGTGTGTTTGTTTTTGTATTTTTGCAAAGGATACGCTTACCAACATATTGTGCCCAGTTTTTTGGCCATGTTGAAGTTTCTGAGTTTCCGGTACATTCTATTTAACGAGAGCTTGTTGATCAAATAAGCAGCGACTAAGCCAGAAGACGGCAGTGTTTCGACTTCAATTTAGATTTCATTTGCATAGATTGACTCTGTCAGTCTCATGGAATTTAATTGCTGTTGACTTTGAATACCCAAACTCAAAATTCAACAGTTGCTTGTAATCTGTAATAAATCATCTCTTGTGCCTTCAGTTAATTAAAGCAAGATTTTTATGTTCTCGTTGCTTGGAAGTTTCTTCAAATGCTGAGTTTAAGCCACAAAAGTTATTTATTCATATTAGACTAAGAACAGAGTTCACAATATTATAAAGGCCCCCGCAATTATTAATTATTATGCTCATAGTTAGTTCACTATATATCGCTATAGCTCTAGTGATGAGACTTTCCCTTGATATTCCTATATTCTGTTAAAAGCTTAGTCTTTAATAACTATTAATTTATATTAATATTATGTATAACATAATTTAGTATTCGTTTATTAAGCTTCTTAACCATATTTGTCTTAATCCATTGGGCTGGCAGCTCATCTTGTGGCTATTAAATTGAAATGAAAATTTGTTCAAGTCCACAAAGCTGTCGTCGCATCGTCAACGCCAAGCCGTCCGATGATTTATTATTATTAAGGCCATAAAAGTTTTTCCTCTGGCTCAGCGGAATGATTAAAAAAACAAAAATCCAGTGTCCGAGCAGCTTCTGAGCACAGAGACTATTTGCAGCACGTTGCACGCGTTTCTTCGTCTTCGGCTGGCCAAAAACTTGTGCCTTTGTGCCTTTATCATTGCCTTCCTGCGAGTTTCTATGTTAAATTGTGTGAACTTTTTTCAGACAACTGCCTGGACGACACTTTATCATGTCTCAGTGCTGTCGCTGACCGCTTTTCACAAATTGAAATGTGTCCGCGGCAGTCAAGAGTAAATGAGCCAAAGCGAAGCCGCAGTCACAGCGGGTCGCAGCTGCAGCCCCCTCTGCTGCTGTACAATGTTGGGCAAATCCTGCACAAAAAATATGTTTTGTAAGGATTGGCCGCTTTTGATTATTTTGCCCTGTACTCACATAAGATGGGCAAGCAGCACTAGCCGAGGCTACGCCCCTCTATAGTTCGTCTGCTTTAGCCTCTTGGATGATATATTCCTATTGAGAGGGTATCTCTGAGTCGGACACCTGGCTTTGATTCAATAACTCTTATCACTTAGAGCAAGCCCCTATTTATATAACTCAGAGAACAGAAAATTGTTATTTAAGACTTTCCTCAATCATTTGACAAAGCAATCGTGGGATTAGTCTCTAAATTCAATTTGTGTAATATGAATGAAGAAAACTCACAAGTTCTTATCCTTAAGCTGCTTATGACTGGGCTGTATTTTTATGCAATGTTAGACAATTCATGATTAACTTCAGTTTGGGCACAGGGTAAAACCTAGTCGATTCCTTGTGTGAAGAGATTTTTTCAATTTTGTATTTGACATCTGAAAGTTGTTTCTTGACCGCATTTGTCAAATATTAGGCTTAAGTGATTTTTGACAGCTGAACCTGAACCTATTTTATATCTAGCAAAGGCACATTTTCTGCTCCGTTTAAGGGTAATTTGTGTGGGCGAGGCCTAATGCGGCGTATGCGTAATTTTAAACTAAAAGTCGAAGTCCAAGGGCAAAAATGCCATTGCTGAGCTAAGGCGTTTATATATTGTATTCAAGCAGGAAAATTATACAATGGCTGGAAATTTTCAAGGGCATACGCAGATTTATTTTTTTTATTTCTAGCATTTTTTAGATGAGGTGAACTGCCTTTTGAGCGTTAAGCAAATCCGTCCAATTCATTTCATTTTTATTTCATAATATTCACATTATAAAATGCTCTCATTGAATGCCTAAAAGACTACAAGATGTTAAGAAAGTCTTCCTGCTCCACCGACAAGCTTAAAGGATTTGACTTTAATTCTGAGTAAACTTGACAATCTACAGATTTTAGGGTTAATCATAGAAGAGGATTTCTTGTTCCATACAATTTGTTATATATTGTAGTAAAATTTTGTATGCGATCTCAAAAAGGGAATTGCCAAAATATTACGACACAGGCGGCTGATGTGAACTTCCGAGCAACAGAAACAACAAGCAACGAAATCGTGTTGAGTAGTGTGAATAGTGTAAGATGTAGATTAGAAGTTGACAAAGTCTAGTTCGCGGCGCAACCTCAACGTGAGCCGCAGCTTGCCGAGTTCCTTGTCATATTTGGCCTGGCATCGATCCACGTCCACTGGATGGGGCAGCGGGAGCTTGAGTCTGTAAAGGGATGTGCCCAGGTCTAGTTCCTGTTCGTGTAGCGTTAGGCCCATTTTGTCAACAGACATTTGCTCGCCGGGCAAGGCAATCTCTAGAATGAGATCTTCACAGCTGGCTGAGGATGCTGTGCGTTGGCCCATCTGAATGTAAAAGAATACAGCTTAACAGACACTGCTAAGGGACAGACAGACGGCGAAAAAGGGTTCGTGCCAACCTGCAGAAAGACGTCCTCAGTGCCAACGGCCTGACGATAGGTCATCGTGTATTCCGGGCACTTGCGCGTTTCCAGAATGTCGGCATCCTCACGCTCCTGCGCCTCCTGCCATTCCTCCAGTGTTTGGGGCTGCGCTTTTACGGGCTCATCCAATGGCGTTGCCACCAGGTTCACCTTACCCTTTCCACGGGCCTTGGCAGCATCACCTGGAGCCTGCGGACCGATGCTGCCGGGTGCTGAGCGAGTGGATAGGATACATGAAGCTTCTGTTGCTGCGATGCTCCACTTACTCACTCTGCCTCTTTACCACCAGAGACTCCTCCTCATCCTCGCTGCTGCTGCTGCACTCGACCCCACCCCGCCTACGTGTGGGGTACAATAAACTCTGCAGTTGTCGCAGCTGGTCGGGATTGTCGAAAAGCGACATCGCTCACACTTACTTACTGCACTATTTTATCGAAAAGTAACTTATTTTATTATTTTGTCAGCGGCTTTCACGTATTTGGAGCTCAAAGCTTGTTTTAGAAATAAATTCCTTATGGACTGTGCTCAGCAAAAAACTGCCCGAAATCGATTCGATTTCATACCGAGCCTACTTCTCGGTGAAGTTAGGTTGCTAAGGCTGTTTACGGGCCATGGAGCAGCTGTAACTTGTTTATTATGTTGTCCCGGAAACGGAGCTTAAATGGACAAAATAAGGGTGTCCGACTGAAAAGGTAGGCGATTGTAATCCACGTCAGCCATACACGGGATCACAATTCACAGCTGTGCGAAAGTGGCTCAAACCTTGTTTTGTTAGTTTAAATGAAATAATAACACGCTTCTGGTCTTTGAGATATCAAATGTAGCATTCAGGACCAAAAAAGAAATCAATACTTTTTGAATACCTTTCCAGTTCGGAAATTCACTTTCATAATGCTCCAGCTGCTTTGACCTACAGGCTAAGGCTAAGTTCATAATTCACTGTCAAGGATAACCAATGGCAGCTTCAACTTTGCTCCATTCCCCCACCCGCCTTCCGCCACTTAGGCATTTCAATTAAAAACTTGATGCCATTCAGAAAAAACTTTTTGCTCTGCCTGGCTCCCAAGGCCCTTGACAACTAGTCCAAAAATTAACTTTCACAAGTAGCAAAAATTATGACACTTGTCAAAAACAATTGTTTTGCGAATTGTAAATTATTTTTGTAAATTCAAATTATCGCTGACCTTCAATGGGTCTCCCCTGCCAGCAACACGGCCCAAATGTAAATCGCCTGGGCGAAAGCGAAACACACAAAAACGTGGAACGTGGCTCGTGTTAAGTGTAAACAACATGACTTTCACGCTGTCGACGCACAGCCAGAGACTGGCTGAGCTCCGCATAGTCAGATATTTAGCTACATGGGGTCTGAGCTCCCGGGTTGCAGTTGAATGCAAAAGGATTTCCGAGCCGTCCATTTTGTCTGCTGCTGCCGTTGCTGTTGCTGTTGCTGTTGCTGGTGTTTTTCATCTTTTCGGATCGTATGCGTTTAATTTGTTTAACATGTCAGTTCCGCATTGCACAAAGCTGGATAATAGCAGAAGCAGACTGCGTAATGCTCGTTCAATAACAACTAATGCAGGTCTTATAACTGCGATTTGGTTTTACGATATTTGCAAAGTTCTGTGATTGGCCTTTAGAGAACATTAGCAGGCCGGATTTTTTTGTAATATATATTTGAGTCTATATTCAAAGTATCCAGTTTTCAGCTTCAAAGCTGACGTGGAATGAGACCAATATACTCTTTTCATTTCCGCTTGGTGATTCGCAATGTGTCGAACCAAACATCACATTGTTGCTAACCGCTGGACAGGCCAAAATAGTTTTACCTGAAAATACTTCTACCTGTCCTAGTTAGCTAGCACACCGTGTAAATTCGACATGGACTTACGCTGCATGGGATGAGCCACGTCGCAGTGCTACCCTCTAAAATTAGTAAATATATTTATGGTAGCTTCTAGATATGATCATAATTCTAATTTAAATTAATAATTAGTTTATATATATTTATTAAAAAATTATTAATCTTCAAAATACAGAAGATGATGAATTCATATAAATTATTTTTCATGGCTGTTGTTAGCCAGATCGACGAATTTATTTATTTTTCTGTTCCATCTGTTCGTTGACTTATTCCATTTAATGGATCTGTAAACATGACTAGATCGAAACATATAACCTAATAATAAAGTTCCATGCATGATATAGTTATTGTCTAAAAACGATTATGGATATTTGAACTGTTCCAATTCAAGCTTTAGTCAATTCTTTTTGATGATCATTGTGGTACGAAGATTCAAGTGCTGAAATCAATTGTAAATGATCAGATTAGATCTAAAGTTTTTGTTTGGTTAGAAGCGTGACAAACTCTCAGAAGAATTCACTAACAAGTAAAGCATTCACTGGCTTTTTAATCGTAATCCAAACTTGATTAATTAACGTTCTTTCAATGAGTTTTCTAATTGATTTAAATGGAATGCAAAAGTTAAGTCGCTGAGCAAACATCACGTAACTGAGATTTAACCTTGTTTTGGTCCATCAACCATGACTTTTGTCTCTTTCAGATGCTCCTCTCCCTCTCTCTCCCTCTCTCTCTGGGACTCCTCTGTCGAGGTCCCAGCTGACGTCCATCCACATGAGACAATGGGCAATGCATGAATACGCGTACATGTGTAACTGTGTTTTGGTCCAATGTTTCAATGCAGCCGAGGGCAGGCTAGCGGAGGGAAGGTGGGAGACCTTTCTTCGTATGTGTGTGTGTGTGTGTGTGTATGCTGTCATATACCAGAGCCACAGCCCAAAATGGTTTTTGGTACAGTCGAATACCACGTACCGTCACATGGCAGCACGCAGTGAAAGTGGAAGTCGAAGTGAAAGTGGCGCCTCATCGCCCCTTAAAGCAGCTGCTACACATTTTCGGCCATTTTTTCCTTTCTCCTCTGCTCCTCCCCTCGTTCTTTTTTTTTTGGCTGCTCCTGTGAATATGATTTGTGTGCTAAAAGTGTTCCAGCTGCCACTTTTTTCGTCGTTTTCTGTTTCTGTTGTGTTTGTTGCTTGTTGGCGCAGATTCTGAGCAGAATATGTATAATGCGAGTATTTTAGAGGAGACTGGGGGTTACATAAAACGTAATTAAGAAGGCATTAAGTATCATGCATAAATCATTGAAAAGTTGCACATTTACGCCGTTTTACTGTTGATGTGCCACGGTGGAGTGGTCGAGCTGGCGCCTGATTCTGTTATCACATGTGGGCGGGGAGTGAGTGCGAGTGGGACTTATATAAGAGCAGCAGACCTTTAGAGCTGCGACGAAGGTAGGCGCTCTGCCTTTATAGTCGCCCATTACTGATAATTGGATGTTGCCGAAGCGTACAAAAAAATCCGGTGTGCCAGCCAAGCCCCCCATCATAGATCTGGCTCTGTTGATTGCAGTTTCGGGCGACACAGAGTCGCACAAGTTTTGGCAAAAAGGAGAACTACTTCCGGCTTCCGAGCATTTGCTCTCTGCTCGATTTGTGCAAATGTATATGTGTCTCTTACAAGCAAAGTTTGGCTAGTTAAATTATTCCCAACATAATCATCGCAGAAAATAAATTATACCAAAAGAAAAACTAAAAAAAAACATTCAGCTAACATCGTGGAAGTCTCACGATAGTTATCGTGTACCCAAGCTTTATGCAATACGGAATACGATACACGACAAACGATATTCAACATACAGCATAAAATATGATCCGCAATATACAATATACAATATTCTATAAGTGATTTATTATACGATCATCAATAAAAAATTCTGTATTTTATTCACCTATTATATATAGACTATATGATATGAAATAAGTATTTTCAATATACGCTGAATAGAATATACGGTATCGCATATCGTGACTTACATTAATGGGCCAAATTACGATATGCGATAGTCAATACAAGATACACGATATTCTATTTACGATATTCGATATACAATACAATACGATATGTTGTACCAACTTTGTTGAGAAATTCCTTGTGTCTGTTACATATGCTTGCACATAATCAAAATACTCTATCGCTTTTTAGGCAGGGTATTCAAATCATGCAGGATAAATGCCGTTGCCTTATATTTGAGTTTGTGCAGTCAAGCGGCGCAAGCCAGCGAAGAGAACAAACAAAATGAAAAAGGGAAATAAAAATAAAAATAAACATATAGAACTAAACAGGCTAAGTTAGCTGTAACAGCCATAAGAGACATATCCAAAAATTGTATGTAAAAAACAACAACCGAAAAACAACTCAAACCGAGCGCGCTCTACTCTACGAAGCGTACATTTTAAAGTCCATTCGAGCATTAAATATCTAGACAAAAAACAACAACTAGTAAAATGGTGCAGCAGCAGAGGCTTGGCCAAAAATTTAAGCCGTAAAGGTTTTCCGACCACAAAACCGCCAGGCCCATGGCCATTGCCACATCGGCCATAAGGCGTGAGTCAAAGCTCTGCAAAAGCGCTCAGCAGCAGCCGAATCAGCGAGCGAGCGAGATAGAAATAGATAGGCAAGAGAGCCCATAGCTGAGCAAAATTGTTGTCAGCTGTTGAGTCAATGGAGTAAGCCACATGCTGAAGCTTTTTGCTTGCACTGCGATTGTTTGTAAACAAGTTGAAAGCTTTACAACAGCTGACTGCAGCGTTTCACAGTGGGCTGAGTCTATGTGAAAATTGATTCATATAGAAATTCACTAAATAATTTCATTCTAATAAGAATGTCGTATTAAATAATATTGATAATGATTATTATTATACTGCTGATAGCTTAACTTATATTGTTAAGTTAAGTAAGTCTTAAGTTATATTGTGATTAAATTTGATTCTTTGTATGATTAAAAAAATTATGTCAGTCTGTTTGCGTTTCGTTTCTAGTCAACAACAATTTAAAATTCCCACAGCTTCATCGAAATGAAAGTGAAATGTGCTTTAATTGAAACAGAGCGTGAAATACAGGTGGACACTGAATGAAATGGTTAATGATTGGTTAATTATCTAATAAAAACAATGGACAAATATTAATTCAATTATCAAAGGCAACGAACAATTGTAAATGAAATCAACTACGAAGGCTCCAATTAAGTCCAAGCTCGTGCAATTTGAGGCCAATTCGAGTCATAAAACACAAATCGCAGACAAGCGACGACAAGGCACGCGCGTAACTGTTAACGATTGCCAAACTGATTGGAATACTTAAATATGTAGAGCTATCTGTGAAATGGAAAGCTGCTGCTGCCCGCATCAAGGGTCTGGAAAGAGAGTTGAGTTGGCCACTAACCTTTCTTCTTCTGGCCCTCGGCACTGCCGGCTTCTTCTTTTTGCGCCACTGTCCACGCTCCGTTTCATTGCCGAATAAGTTTTCTACGCTGCTGCCGCTGCCGCTGTCGCTGTCGCTGCTTTGGAGACTCTCCACATCGGAACTGTCACTTAAGTTCAATTCGTTCTGCAATTTGCCCGCTTCAGCGTCGCGCTGCCGCAGCGGTCGATAGTCGCTGACGGCGCTGCTGGCGGCGCTGTTTCTGAAACGCTCGCGAAATGATTTATAGAGGCCGGCGCCGACGCTGGCAATGCTGCCATGTATGCCCGCCGTAGCTGCTGCACTGCGTCTGCCCTGGCTGCGCCGCTTGCTCGCCTTCTGTCGAGCACTGAGCCGCGCATCGCACACGCTCGCCGCCACGCTCGCTGACTGCGCAGCCGTCATATCAAGAAAGGCACTCATGTTGGCTATGAATAATGATAATACTCTTGGTTTCCAGTTATGCAATGGTTGTTGCTGTTGTTGCTGTTGTTGTCGCCGTTGTGCCTGAGCCACTCTTTGTCGTTGGCATTGCTGGGGCTGAAGCCGATGCCGCTCAGAGATTCGCTTTATGCACTCCTGAGTTTTCCAACCAATTACGAGTGTTTTCCAGCATTTGTATTTGTATCTGCCAAGAGAAGTGGGCGAAAATTTGCATGTGTTGCATTAATTAGGAAATTCGATAGCTGCGCCTACGGTTTTCCTTGTTTTTGACATGGATTGTTGACTTTATAGAGTACCCGAGTGAGCAATGGGGAATGGGCCTAGAACATGCTATGAAAACTTGCGGGAAATGAGCCGTGCCAGACTAAGACTAGGGAAATGCATTCAAATTGAAGCAAATTTGCTACTCCATCTACACTGCAATTAAAACAATTATTTTCAACTAAACAAGAGCATATATTAAGCAATATTATTTACCTGACTAATTAAATATAGTTCAAGCAATTGCTTAGACTTTAGATTAGACCAATGTAAATATGCGTTTTGACTATATAGAAACACTATCGATCGGGCCTGTTGCAGCTCTCCTTTGCTGTTTGTCTATATGTTCTCATTTTTTGTATATTTCCTATGTACTATAATTTTGTATTTATTTTATTACATTTTATTATGATTATTTCGACTCAACTCAGCTGCTGATCAAGTGGGTCTTCAGCTTCTTTGTGGCGTGAATCAGGTCAGAAACTGTAAAATCGATTGTAGATTGATCTCCACGTCTCGCCCTCGTCAATTAAATGCGAAAAGTTAAATATTCCGTTTAAAGTTTTGTTAATTCATGTCTCAATGAAAAGAAGACAGAAAATATCAAACGATTACAGCGGCAACTGAAGATGAAAATGCGCATTTTTCTTGGTTTTCTTTTTGCCTTTGGGCCCGCTGCTCGCAAGTGAAAAGCGTCGGAAAACATGAAAGGCACAAATGAGGAGTAAATTGCGACTGCCGATGCCCCGACCTTCCCATATCGTCTATGATGACAAAGGTGAGCGTGCTCATCTTATGACTGCAAAACCTTAATCTGACCACCAGTCAGCGATCCATACTAATTTGCACTTACTGATAACACATATTGTTACTTGCCAGCTAAAGTCAAGCTTAGCCATTAGCGAACAGCTAACAAGTTGAATCGGGAGTATGCCAATGGCAGGTGCCCGGAAAGTGTTGGCTAGCCTTGCAGTTGGGCTCAGTGAACTCGATGATGGACTCAAGTTTGCTTATTTTATTATAAAATTAATATTTCATTTTCCGGCGAATCCTATAGTAAACGTATCTTTGTATAGGACGTTTACAATAATCCACAAAATTAGAAGTTTTGCAATGTTTGCCAGCGAACTTGACTATGTAATATCTTGTCAATTTATCACTCTGTCAATGGCTTTGGATATAGAATTTAAATACTTTTATCTGACGCTAGTATGCCCAACTTTATATGGCACATTGAGCTACTCTCCCGCTTCAATAGCTTCTTAAGTTGTTTGTTCTTCTGCTGATTTAGCATGTCTTAAGCAGATTATAAGAGGAGTGTTCAAATAATGACTATATATAATCAATATTTGAAGTCTTTAGCCCATTGGGAGTGCACTACTTTCCACTTATACAGACAAATTTGCTATATAATATATATCATTATCATATACCCTTATCATTTTCGCTTTTTCTCTGCAGTTAAAGTTCTAGGAAACTGCGCTCTACGAAGACTTTATTGGAGCCAAAAACGCGTTTTCTTGTGGTTTGTTAGTTATAACTTTTATGCTAAGCAAAATATTGATATTATTTTTTTTCCAAATTGTCAAAATATTAGTTAACAAATCTGTAAATTTAAATTTTTGATTATTGCCCATCTTGTATCACTTATTCGTTGCCAAAGAAAAAAATCATTGCTATACGAAGACATTATTGGTCCACTGTATATATATAATTTGCTCTAAATATATATTTTGTTTGCAGAGTGAAGATCTTATGAAAGAAATAAACTGAGACGTCGTATGGTGTAAAAGGAGAAATATTTCCAGTAATGCATATATTTCCAACTGTAATTTCAGTTGTTTCGGATAGATTAATGTTCATCCTATCCATATTTTAATGCTTCATTACCTAACAAATATATATATATATCTAAAAAACTTATTTCGAATCGAATCAACTTCTATTGCTGTGCAAGTAAAAAGGGAACTTTATCTGCGCCAATTAGGTTAAGAGGAAAGTGCTAAATGCAGCATATCAAATGCAAATTAAAAACTCAGATATTATGTATTTTGAGTGAATGAAACGATTCAAGTTAATATTTGGCACCTGCAAATCAGGATAGATAGATTCTCTGGGGGCGCAATGTGTGTCAGCAGACAAGGAAAACAGAGTCGCTCAGGAAATGGCTATTAAATGGGTTATCAAAATAATCGATTTGATAAGCACTTAAATTAATTGAAATTCTCGCTGTGTATTGGCGTTGTGGGCATAATAAACAAACTTTAAATCAATGCCGCCCAGGCAGAGGCCCAGCCCCAGGAAAAGCCACAGAGACACTGCGCCACACACACACATACACACGCACAGACAGACAGACGGAGGCAGAGCGGGAGACTCTCACCCGGAGGAGCGACTGCACACCATGGCAAACTGTCACATTAGCATATTGAGAACGCAACGGGCCAACAGAAATGCGACTTGTTCTTTCTTTGTTGTTTGCCAGTCAAGCGGCGATGCCATTGACGTTAACGTTGACGTTGACGTTGACGTGTACGCTTACGCTTACGCTACCGCCGACGCTGACTGCGACTTCAGTTAGTTGACGTCGACGTCGACGCCGCAGTCGCATGCGCAACTTTGGCTTGGCTAGCAGATCGTGGCTGAGGCGTTTGCTCCGGTATCAGTCGCTTTGCAGACTTTCGCGTGTGCGGTCGAACCGAAAGAGACAAAACAAAACTCACGAAAGCCGTTATATTAAGAATATCCAAGAAGAAAAAGAAAGAAACGAAAGAAAGAAACGAAAAATTCTATATGTTTGGGCGCGACTTGTTGACAGTTTGAATTATGTGCTAAACGAGTGTGAAATGTGAGAAAAAGTTCATACAAAGCGAATTGGATGCATGTGATTAGCATAATTAATAAGTGAGGTGAATGGGGAAAAACCTGGTCTCCAGAGGAAACCAAAAATCACAAAATATCTGGAAAATATTGTAACGGTAACAAGAACTGACCAGTCGAAGCAAGTGTTTAGCTGCCTCATTAAGCTATCAGTGCACGCGCGCAACAGCAAATCGTTGGCCAACCAGTTGAAGTTGAAGATGCTGCTGCTCCACTTACATCACTGGCCATTAGCATTGGCCATCACTTCCTGCATTGTCGCCGCCTCAACCACAACAACCACAGCCACAACCACAACCACAACAACAGCAACGCCAACTCAGGCAAGATCAACAACGACAACAGCAACATCAGCATCCATACCAGGCAAATATCAGGCATATGGCAGCCAGCACCAGCCAAAGAAGCTGCGAGCTGGAATTGGAGCTGCTGGCAACTCCAGTGGCAGTGAACCAGTAAACCAGTTCCGGCAAAATCCGATCAAGAATTGGTTTGGCGTCTTCAATCGTAATAATTCGCCACCGGCTCAAGACCAAACAGCGACATGTTCCTGCAGGTGGGTAAACAACAGAAGAAACAGTTCCACTCATGCTTGCAACTGACGGCATCCAGTTAGCCGAGTTAGTTAACCAACCACATTTTATTGGGTGTCACTGTCACGGCATACAAATCGCAGTTACAGTTAAAGATACAGATATATGTGTATGCCCATTGCACGCGCTTACAGATCTTTTCGAGCTTCAAGAAATGCCATTTGTTATTAATATTTATGAAGGCGGGGAGCTTGCCACACATTGCTGCACACAGTCGCCATACGTGGCACTGCAAGTTCAGTAAGTGGCCCATTACGAAGTCAACTCAGCTGTGAGAAGAACCAGAGACCAAAGTAAATTATACATAATGAGCGTAACGGTTTCAGTTTTGACTAGTTCCGACACATACTCATTTTTGGAACTAGGTTCTAAAACAGCTGACACTTCACAAGAATTCCCAGTTCTTCAGCCAATTCCCAAACTGAACTGAAAGCTGAACTTTGAAAGAACCACATAATTAGTCCCATATAATTTGAATTGCCAATATAATTTGAAACAAAGACTTGACACTCATCCAACTACACTGAAAATGGCGTATAACAAATTTATAATATATGTGAGTTATTTTCAATTATTAGAAAACTTGTTCATATTTTCATTAAAAGAAATTGCAATTCATTGACTCGAATTTGGTGAATAACGAAAAGCTAAGTTTTTGCTTAGTTTAGTTCACAAACCGAACTGTGTAGAGTGTAGAGTGTAGAGTTTAGAGTGTAGAATGCAGTTAGTTCGCACCACAAGCGTCCAGCTCGTATTGGAGTGAAATTTTCTAATTTTACTTGCTGATAGAACCCAAAGATTGAAGGTTCAAGAAATTAAATGATTTTACCTTTAATAATGGGAGCAGCAATAAAAAACTATTTCTTACTAGATAATTATGCGGATGAAGATGAAGCTTTTTAGGCTTTCTGTTTCAGTCGTCACACTTAAAATTGAACTTAGAACTTTTCGCAGCTCAGCACTTGGCTACACACTTGAGACAAGCTGCACCTTTGCGTCTCAGCTACGCAGTTCTTGACTCTGAAGATGTCGATTTGAAAAGCATTCCTGAGCTGCTTGATGCCTGATGCCTGCTGCAAAGTGCAAATTGCATTGCCTGTGGTACTTTCAGTTGCCAATGGGGATTTGCAATGGGCCTTAGCCATCGCCGTTGGCATTGGCATTGGCAATGGCTTTGGCATTTTAGAGTACCGGAGGGTATTGATTGAGTCGAAACTGTTTGCGTGAACGCAGAGACACTTCACTTCAGGGAGTTCAGAGGAATGCGTTTGTCGGCGCACCTCGCATAGGAATTTTAATGATCCGAATGAACTGAAGTCTTCGAGAAGACTCGACAGCCCCGAATTAGGTTAGGTCAGTTTCAATGCACAGCTTATGCACACTTATCCATAGCTTAAAGGGAGCTCTCTGCTGCATTTTCACTTTTTATTTTGGAGTATCTCCAAATTTATGGGTCTTAAGGTCTTAAGATACATTTTCCAAAAGTTACCTTCTCCTAACGAAAAGAGCAAATGAAAGCCATTTCTTAGTAACGTCTTCTGCTTCTTCTTTGGCAGTATTATAAAACTTTGATTTTATAAGCCCAAAACCCGTTTAATTCCCTCTGCTTGTATCTTTTATATTTATTTTTACTTTTTTTTTGCATTTCAAATGAAATAGGCCTGATTTGCATAAGTTTTGATAAGAGCTCTTCTTGTTTTAAATATGTCTGGTTTTGTATCTGGATTCTCTTTATATACTGAAATATCTGAGTTACACAAATACACTCATACATATATGTATATGGATATATATAATGTATATAGGTAACAGGTAAGGCTAATGCGTCATGTGTTGATTGCCATTTAGCAAAGGGAACGCCGCATTCTCTTTGAATTGGGTCGCAGATTTTTATTGTCTTTGTTTTTGCATTTTTGTTGCTGGCTTTCGGGACGCCTTCGACTTTGCCTTACCTCGCCTTGGCCACCATTTTTGGGGCAATGACTCGGTTAAGCAACACCAAAAAAAGATATCAAGCCCAAGTCCAAGCTTATTGCTGTTGTTGTTCTGAGCCGACGATTGATTTGTGGCCAAAAAAAATTATTTAGTATACATATAAAATTGTATAGCCCGACTTTGGAGAACTGGTTGTTCTTGCCTTCCTCTCTCATTTCATTTATCAATCCAGCTCTCTCTCTTGCTCCATCTCTCTCTTTCTCTCTTTCTCTTTCCGAGTGTCGCTTTTGAATGCATTTACTTCAGTTTTTGGCAATTATAAACCAGTTTTATGTAACGATGTCATTTTAAATATGTTGGAAAAACTGCAAAGCGAAAGATTTGCACAAAAGCTCGTTAAAGCCTTTGACACTTGCTTTACGACATTATTAATGAGGCTTCTTAGGTTGTTGAACTCTGAACTAATCACCGAAGATTGCCATTCAATGAAATCGAAGTGGAAAATTGTGTTAAGCCTGGACTGAATATAAAACAAATTTTGTTTTGCTTGTGGCATGTATCATAGACTCTAAAATCGGCTAGGAAATGTATCAAAATAAAGGCAATATCAGCTAAAATATATATCAAGGCAACCGTTCATAATATTTTGTAATATGCGTGTATATGCTTTAGCCATTTAACAGCACTTTTTAGCCTTTTCTCTAGTCTGAAATGATTAATTTTAGTATCAATTAATTGAGAATGCTGTGCAATTAGCACTGAGATTTGAATATCTCATCTAGCAAGAACAGTTTCTCAACTTACATTTTGTATAAACATAATTCAATAATTCAAGACAATCGAACTGAACATTATAGAATATGTTTCTGTGCGCAACCAAAAATATCTTTGACTCACTTTGTGTTAAGGCTGAGTTAGTAAACAAATAATCTGCAAAATATTCACATTTGAGAAAAATAACTGCGCCGTATCTTTGTCTCTAGTGGAAGCAACAGAATTGCATATAAACTCCTCTTTGCCAACAACTTGTAATAATTTGTCCTTAGACATTGTCAATTATCGAAATGATAAACATCTTTAAGCATCTATGTCTTCATGGCTACCCTTCCTACATATGTATCGTCCCTTTACTAGAGACTTATTCTATGGACTATGCCACTGCATGATATAATTGAAATATGAACAGAGTATGATTCAGTCGGTTGCAGGGCACTCAGTTGTCATCGGCTTGATGAAGTGGATGACAAACATATAAAATATTGAGGTCCGCTCACTTTTTATGCTTTTCGACTGTTGCAGGTGCGGGGAGCGCAACGATGAGTCGAGAATCGTTGGGGGCACTACAACTGGCGTCAGCGAGTATCCCTGGATGGCCAGACTGAGCTACTTCAATCGATTCTACTGCGGTGGCACGCTGATCAACGATCGCTACGTGCTGACGGCGGCGCATTGCGTGAAGGGCTTCATGTGGTTCATGATCAAGGTGACTTTCGGGGAGCACGATCGTTGCAACGACAAGGAGCGTCCGGAGACGCGCTTTGTGCTGCGCGCCTTTAGCCAGAAGTTCAGTTTCTCCAACTTCGACAACGACATTGCCCTGCTGCGTCTTAACGATCGCGTGCCGATCACCAGCTTCATCAGACCCATCTGCCTGCCCCGCGTGGAGCAGCGCAATGATTTGTTCGTGGGCACGCGTGCCATTGCCACCGGTTGGGGCACACTCAAGGAGGACGGCAAGCCCTCGTGCCTGCTGCAGGAGGTGGAGGTGCCAGTGTTGGATAACGACGAGTGTGTGGCCCAAACCAACTACACACAAAAGATGATCACGAAGAACATGATGTGCTCTGGGTATCCGGGAGTGGGCGGCCGTGACAGCTGCCAGGGCGACTCGGGAGGTCCTCTGGTCCGCTTGCGGCCCGACGACAAACGCTTCGAACAGATCGGCATCGTTTCTTGGGGCAATGGATGTGCGCGACCCAATTATCCAGGTGTCTACACCAGAATTACTAAATATCTCGACTGGATTGTGGAGAACTCAAAAGATGGCTGTTTCTGCGACGAGGATTACTAAGAGTGAGAATTCTATCTCAATTTAGTTCTAGTTCTACGATTAGTCTTAATGCTATACATATTTTGTACTTTTATACGGAAATACAAACAAAACAACTGAATAAAGTAGTATATATCACAAGAAAATAAAATAAAATAAATAGATAAACAAAGAAAGATTTGTTCACACGTTGTCATTATCTTCATAAGTTATTCATTAACTGAAATTCAATACGAGATGACTTATCCGGCTTCTAACAACAGAGAAATTCACGATTTTTCGGAACATTCTATGTTTTGATTCTCATATAAAGCTCGCCTCTTTGGAACAATTCTTATTATGAAAAGTGCATTTCGTAGTCATTTCATGCAAGTCGGAGTATTTCTTAGTCAGTCGCGCCCTTGTTCTTATTCTCAATTTTAACCATATGATCAGCAAAGCAGTACTCTGCTTTGCTTAAGTAAGAAACTGCTTGCAATAAGTTTCTAAACACTGCTTGCTATAAACACTGCTTACACACTTCGAATGGAAATAGTTTTTTTTTTTCAACTCGTAAGCAATTAAACTAAATTTTATTAATAAAAAACATTCGCTTGTGGCATTAATTGAAAAAAAATCAATCAAAGATTATGGAAAATGGTATTTTGCCAACCACAACTAAATGACAGACATAATTTATGATAATATTAAAACTGGCATTGGAATTGAAAAAGCAGTTTACAACTCCTAGCAGATCCTAAATTCCCTTTACCTTAAAGAGAACAACTGTGTTTCCCAACTCTACTATTTTTAGATGCAGTTTGCATAAATACAAAGATGTCTCTAGATATTTTAAGTTAAACTTCCCGCCTACTCTACTACTCAATATACTCTCAGCTGCCACTCGAAGCCCACCTTAAAAACACTGTAAACATATATAAAAGCATCCGAGTTTATAACATTTACAATTGTTCACAGTTGACTTTTCTATACGGTGTATGCGCCAAAAAATAAATATAAAAAAAATGAGAGAAAAAACAAATAATGATGAGGAACACCGAAACTAGCTGTTGCTGCTGGAAAACTGGTTTCACCTTACCGAAACAGCTGTGAATACACACAGACTAATGTCAGAGACATCTAACATTTGTACTAACTGCAAAGAGCAGCAGCAGTGGCGACAGCAGCAGAAATCTCGAAAGAGTTGAAATGAAGAGGCGAGCCAAATAAATCATTTTGCTCAAAGTAAACTCGTATCATTTGTTTGCTTTTGATATTTCGCCTAATTACTCCATAGAACTTGGAGTGAATCACTGCAAGTCTGAAGCAGTCCGCCACAGATAGTATCACTCTGATAATAAGTATATTTAGCCCACTCTATTTCAGTAATTGGCTCTTTGTGGCAATTTCAGTAATTGCAATGCAGAGATTTGTCAATTCGTAACTCAACTCACTTGCGTAATTATTCAATATGAAAATGAAGATTCGCGCATTCGCCAGATACTTTTGTATCTAGTTGCCTCTGTGACTTCTTCCAGATCTCTTGGCCTTTGCAGTAGTAGCAGCAGCAGCAGCTGCTTGTGGTAACTTTTGACTTTTTCTTTTGTTATTGAGCTAATAATTTTCCTGCCTTTCGAAACTTTTCGTTGCCAGCAGCTGTTGTTGTTTACCGTTTGCCGCTCGCGCACTCACTGAAAAAAGAAAAAGCCGCCATGCGTTGATCGCTCCCAGAGATTGTTTGGAGCATCGTCTCGGGTGCTGCTCACCTGCTCAGCTACTCAGCTGCTCAGCTGTTGTCTTTATTATTGCAAAATTAGTGTAACTCCTCGCTCTCTCTCCCTCTCTCTGTCGACCCGTCTCTGGCAGAGCTCAGTAGGCCTGTGTTGTAAGTCTGAGCTAGTTAAATGATATTGTGCACAGGCCGACATAAATTTATATACGTTTAACATATATAACATTTGCGGATGAACTAAAATTTCTACTTGAGCAAATATTAAGCATTGAATTCGTCGATATCATGTCTTCGCCAGCTAAGGAGGATGTGGCCGACCCTGAAGAGAGTCAAGAGCCGGAGGCTGATGATTTCCCGGCACTGGCCACGCCGTCCATGCTGGATACGGATATTTTTAATGAGATTGACAAGCGCTTGGGCTTGCTGTTGGACCGGGCTAATAAGCTGGAGAGCACACTGAATCAACTCAATGGTAAATGTCACACTGATGATCAGGATCTGGAGCTGGACCTAATCGAGGAAGAGGGCGATGAAAATCGCTTTGACGATGTCATGGATGTTAATGGAACTGACAATTTAGTGGCAGATTCATCAGATAAAAGTGTTCCTCTTGATGCCCTTGCCGAGAATCTTGATAACATATATCTGGACATACAGGAAGACTAGCTACAGACCTGGGAGAAATACAAAGTACATTGGAACAAAGCAACGACGTTTTCAATTGTAATAGTTAAATACCTACACATTTCAAATTGTAAATATCAATCAAACATACAAAATACTTCCCACCAAGAACAATTGAGAAAAAAATCGCGTAGCAATGGAAACAAACTTTATTATTACTGGAATTTGTCGATGAATTGCATATGTGGCGCCATCTATGGGTTGGTTGCCGTATTAAAATGTATAGGGAGTACTGCTAATTCTTAAATTAACAACTGCTTTACTCAAGCTTTGCGTATGTTGCTCTGCTTGAATGCTGAATGCTGCTGTGTAGTGCTCACAGTTTTAAGTAAAGAAGTCTACTCTAGGCTGACTTCAATATACTCTTAAGCTTATATTTTCCAAAGAATTTCATTCATTTTCGCGCTGCCTTTATATAGAACTATGCAACATCAGTTATGGTAATAAGAGTTATAATTATGCATTATGAATCCACAGATTGTTCCACTGCTTGCTCCATATATTTATATGTTCACCATATAACAACATTTGTTTGGCTGGGCAGCTTCGTTTCACAAATATAGTAACAGCGCCGAATACACTGATTGTCGTTATAATAGAATGTGTTTCTGTTGAAGGCCACAAGCTGTCCGCAATGCTCCTTGTTTTTCAAGTTATTTGGTTCCCCGCGACCCCATCTGGCGAAGCTCGGTGGCCGGCCGTTAGTAATTGAAATATATTGGGATTTCTCTGAAAAGTTATTTATGCTCAGCCAATAGCAGCGCTTCTTACTCAACTCTGGTATCACTGCATCGAGTTCGCGATCATTTCGAAAGTTGACCAAATCCGACCCCAATTCACGACACTTGTGCAGAGCTTCGAACCAATTGAGAGCTCTGCTCCTTTCTATATAGAAATATTTCGAATTGACTTTTTGAAAAGGATTGATGTCGGCATAAAAGTCATTTGCGATTTCAAGCGACTGACTAAAATTGGCGAAATTTCCTAAACAAATCACATTTAAATATTAGACATGCCATTTATATAGTATAACTAAAACATTACCTATCGATGATCCCAGAGTCTCACATTGAAGCGAAAAACAATACGAAATCATCATTAAAAATCTCAAATCCATACTGAACCAAGTCAACATTCTCCACAGTTGCTCTATAATAACTGATTTACTTTCAGAACGTCAATTGAAATGATCTGAGACCTAAGCTCTACTGCCAGGGTTGCCAGCCTAGTTGCTGCACTCAAGCAGTAGGTGCAACATTGCTTAAACATTGCACTCTAAAAACTAGTTATGAACAAAGAATTTTATTAATATCCCATGTATTGAAATTTATTTATATATGTACATATACATATACATATATATATATATATATATATATATATATATATATATATATTATCATCGCTTCGACAACTCTATTGAACAGAAATCTACTTTAGGTATATACAAATATCCTATACATTTGTGGTGAAACTATGCAAATAGCGATTTGGTTCTGGCTCACATCAAACCGCAAAAGCTTAGAAACTTATAAATAAAGAAATAAAAATAAAACCAGACGAATATACACGATACAATACAAGAAGTTTGATAGGAAAATAGTTTGTTAATATATAGAAAACTATTATTTTGCAAGAATAGCGCATAGTCGGCTTAAGTTTCTTATCTAATATAGAGTATTCTATTAACTCAATTGGCAATTGATCTAAGCTTTTCTCATTTTGGTATTTTCAAAGCTTTTGCATTTTATGTCAATTGTGACGTCATAGCTATGGCCCCAAAGTTGTTAGCGCAAGCAGTGGCCTTCTCGATCTGCTTGACTTTCTGATAAGCAGTTCAATCAGCTGATTGTCAACAGCCGGCTAACAGTGTGACTTCAGTAGGCTATCTTTGTTTCTGTTGAATAGTTTTTAAATTTTTTAAAGTAGAAATGTTTGACAAACTCAACGGCGATTGCTGGCTTACCATTCTTAAGTATGTAAACCTAAAAGACCAAGTGGCACTGGCGCATATCTCCAAGAGTCTGCACTCTGTCGTTCGATATCATTGGGAACATCTAAAGACCGCCTGCTTGGACCAGGCTCTGCTGGAACATTTCGAGCAGCAGCCGCACGATATGGAGGAGTTCCTTCATCTCGCCAGTGGATCGCTGCAAAATCTGAAACTTAAACAAGCTGATATTGCATTACTGCAGAAATGGAGATCGTATGAATTTCCTAAATTGACTACTTTCGACTGTGATTTAGGCTTTAAAGACGAAGAAGAGACCGACGAGAAGATATTACTGTTCACCGAACTCTTTCCACATTTGCGCCAGTTGACGTTGCTGGGCAACACCACTGGTCGACACATATGGTTCTGGGATCAGTTGCAAGAGCTACACTTAATGTGTTGCGAATCATTGGATAAGTCAATATTTGATCAGATCTTTGGCGTCATGCCATTGCGCAAGCTCACGCTTCTCTTCTACGGATACAACACGAATATGGGCGAGGATGTTCTGCCCATATCGAAGTGCGCTACGCTTGAGGAACTCGTCATGGACGATCACCACTTGCTGGGCGATTTCATGCCCAACCTACTGAAGCTGCCCAGGCTCCGACGTCTGGCCTTCTACACCCGAGACTATTACGAGTATCTTCTGCAGACGGTGGGCAAGCTGCGACCGCTCAGGGTGAAAGCATTGCTCTTCCACGACTCCTACTGGAGCAGCTCTCGCGTCAGTCATGCCATAATGAGCATGACGAATCTACGTCGTCTTGTGCTGCACGACGATGACATTGAGACGAAGGAACTGTACAAGATTTGCGCCACATTGCCGCAGCTGGAGGAATTACATTTGACGAAAATGCGTACGTTGCCAACTGCTACCCAAATTTGGGACATGGTAGGCGCTAGCGAATCCCTAAGGATTCTTAATCTATCGGGCAGCCGGCTGGATGACCAGTTCTTGTATCTGAGCGCCCTATGCTTGGATCGAGTGCTGAAGAAGCGAAGCGAATCCTCACCACTGACACTTCACCTACACAAAACCTTGAAGGATTGCGATCAAAATGAGGTGAACACTTCAATATCAATAGAACTGGCCCTTATAATGAGTGCATCTCTTTTTGTTTCTAGATAATCGCAAAACTGAAGCATCCGAATTTGGAAGTCTCCTTCAAGCCAATCGATTTGAATGTCTGGAGCTCGCGCTTTGTGGAAATTGAATTCATCACTCCAATGGACTAAGTTCTTCTTTTGTTATTGTGATTAAAGATTGTGATTAAAGAACATAGTCAAGTTGACACTAAATGTAAGTCTCAGCCCATTTGCTGGCGCCCTTTAGTATTCGTATATCTTATTTTAGGGGCAGTTTCAGGAGAATTGCAATTGAGGTACATTTTCCTTTCTCGCTTTAATGTATTTTCAATGTGTTTTCAGTGTTGTATTTGCGTTTAATACATACATACATAAAAATAATACAATTATTAAAAATTATAAAAAATCAAAAATAAATATACATAAATATTTAAGCTTTATCTGCTAAGGTTACAAATGCGCTTGCTTGAAAACCGATCTGTTGATAGATGCGTCTAAGGACGTTCTTCAATTTAATATATATTATATAATATGATATTATATAATCAATTGTATTTGATTATCTTATTTGAAACGAGGGAGGAGAGGTCAACTAAGTTACTAAATTACAGTTCAGTACAGTTAGAAATTAGTTATCGCTGCTTATGCTGGGCGTTAATTCAAAATGGTTAAAATATTTGCTGGCAACTTTTACGTATATGCTTGTTGTATGTATATGTGTATAGAATATGTATAAATATAATACAAATATAAGTTCGCTTAGTATACGTTACATAATGTTTATAGTTAATTTTTGCTAAACGATCACAAATAACCAGGCACTCTCACACAGGCACTCACAAAAGCTCATTCAGACATACTCAGACAGACATTCACACGCTTACAGATTAGAATTTCGCGCTTACGACTTAGGTTAATGGACTTAACTCTTCTAAATGGGGAGAAAGGTAAGGGGACTCGTCAAGTCCTCCTTGCTTTTCGACAGCGATGGGCAACAGTCTCAAAAGGCGTCAATTGTCAATAAATTGATTTCATTTGCGATTGGCTCGATTCGAGAGCGTTGACCATAACTGGGGAGGTTTTCGTAGTTTTTCTCATTGCTTTTTCATTGCTTTGACAAAAGTTTTTATAAAATTTTGGACTTGCATTTCGTATAAAAGAAGTTCTAATAACATTTTTGTTTCATGGATGAATGACTGAGAGGTGTGGGCGTGCAGCGGCCAGTGGGGCGCAAATGCTTCCACAGCGGCTGCACTTGTTCGCTTGCTCGCTTCGCTTTCGTTGGGGGCAGCGTTTTGTATAATCACAGCAAATCGGCGCAGACGCCTCCGAACCACGCCATATATAGGGGCAGCAAGTAGACGACCAAAGCCCGACGCAACGTCATCTTCTCGGGAGCGTTGGAAGTGCGTGTGGCGCCATCCGTCGACGAATTGTGGACGGAGTCATCTTCCTCGTCCTCATTGTCGTTGTCGCCATTGTGCGGCTCGTCTAGATCGTTATGGTCGTGGTCCAAATGCGTGGTATGCACCAGCGGATTCTTGTCGTCCACATTGGGACGCGATGTGTGGGTGGTAACGGACGGATTGGTATCCTCATCATCGTCATTTTCAGCATCGACACGCACCGACGGATGCTCCACGTCCGGCTTGTGACTGGGCTCGAACGGACCTAAGCCAGAGCCCTCATCATCGTCTTCATCATCCTCGGACCCCGATCCGGAGCCAGCGCCGCTGCCCATATATGGTTCCTCTGCAATTCAGAAGCGCCCATGAGAATGTTGCAATTCAGAGAGCTCGGAGTGCACTTACCTTGCTCGCTCCAGTCCACGTCCTGACCATTGTAGGCATTTCGCAAATGACTAATGGCATTCTTCAGATGGAACAGCTGCGTGGACATCTGTGCCGTTTGGCGAGTGCTCGCTGGGTTGCCGCTGAACTCAGGATTCGAGCCGTGCTCTGTGGTCACCGAGTGCATATATCTGAGAAGGCAAAGTAGTAAGTAATGAGGCCAATTGATGCTGGAAGGGATCCTGCACAATTCTCACCTGTCTATGGTGTGCCCATTCCAGCACATGCCATCTACATCGGATGAGGCGGCGATGTCCTCATTGCTGCATATCGAGTGCGGCAGGTTTGACCAGAACTTTTTGTAGTCCTTTACACGCTGGCGTATATCCCGCACAATCTTGTCTAGAATAGGCTCCCTGCCGCCGCCATTGCTGTCGCCATCGTCGTCGTCGTTGTCGTTGCGATTGTTCTGCTGCTGCTTGCGGCGCTGCTGCTGCTGCCTGCGGCGTTGCTGCTGACGCTTGTTGTTGCCACCATTGCCATTGCCATTACCATTGACCAAGCCCTGCTCCTGCGACTGCTGTGCCGACGAATCCTGTGAGCCGGGCTCGGCAGCCCGCCGTTCACGCAGCACAATCGCCTCATCCAAGGTGGCATCGATGTCTAACGTGTCCGCCTCCGGAGTGCTGTGCGCACGCAGTTCCTGCACCGCGGCGGCAGATGGCGCCAGTAGCATTTTGGGACTAATGGAGCGTTTGGCATGTCGCAAAGTGGGCTTGCCGCAACCCTGAAACACACGATGCGTAATGTCCTGACCAGAGTCCTGAAAATCGAGTGTTGTACGTCATTAATAACGGTAAATAAATGAAAAGCTAAAGAAAAACGAATGCAATCCAATCTAAGCAAAGATGCCATTGACTCTGTATGAATGGAAATACGTAAAGGTTGCGATTCCTTAGGGCTTAGTAACTCTGATGCAGTAAAGCAAATGCGATTATTTTCAACTTGTGGTTGATAGAGATCCAAAATGGAAAAACTCTAATCAATTGGCCACAATTGGTATACTTATGCCACCTAATCAAGGTTCTAAAATATACTGTAAAATACTTTTATACAAATAGAAAGTAGATACGAGAAGGCTAATCAATTATTAATACATTATTATAACTAAATTATATTTTAATTTATATAATATCTAAATCTTATTATTGATTTTGTAAGCTCTAAAACTTCTAGTAGTTCGATGATTAATCATTAAAGTCAATTATTATTAACTAAAGTCATCTCCTATTTGGTAACCATTTGATACTCACATTACGTATTCTTAATCATTTCTAATGCCCTCTATAGGCAGTGAAGTTCGCAACATTTGAGGATTTATTCAGTTATTTGCTACAATTGCATTGCTTGGAAGCATGCCAAGCGCTATTTATAGCTGGATCTTATACAAAGAAATCCATATATGTTTGATTTACCACTCATGCGAGCTGCGAGACCCTCAATAAATCGTCTGACTGTCTTGGCCACCTTATCAGCGGGGCTTTATCGGAAGGCGGTAATTGTTGACACGCTGACTACCTCAAGCTGTGTGCAGAGTAGGCAAACAGACAGTTGCGAGCGCGCGACTACTATTTACAGTTAAGGGTCGTGTTAGGGTTAGGTTTAAGTAGGTCTTATCTGACTGACAGCCATGCCAACAAGCGGCCCGGGCTCTTGGCCTATCCCAACCATAAGACACAGCTAACTGTAGTCGCCGAACTAAGAGCTCTTAGTAATCTGTGATTTGCGCAAAATAAACCTTTCAGATGTTAAGAAAAAGACCAATAATAATTAAATTAAAAACTATTTTGCTTACGCCGTTTGGCCTTTAAAGACGCCGACGAAACAAAAACAAAAAGAATCACACTCAAAGTAAACACATTAAGAACAGAATGCCGCAGTACAATAAGAGCAGCAGCAGCAAAAACTACAACTAAAGATATAACACACACACGCACACTGACACTCACACTCACATCGAAACAAACAACAAACAAAGTAGAAATGTATAAATTTGAAATGGAATTATAAATTAAATTCATATGGGAACCAAATGTTGTGCAAATAAATCGTTAAAATGGCAAACAAAACACAAAAATACAAAATCAAAAATCAAATATGAACAAATTTAGAACCTTGAAATATTACAGCAATCAAAATTCAATAAATTGTGAGCATTATTCATGAGTGTAAATATTTTTGCATTTTAATTTTAATTTTAATTGTAAATGGTCATTTACAATCGACAGACAACTCGGCATATGGAGTAGACAAAGTAATATGGAGATAGCAGAACAGAAGAACAAAAGTTGAATGTTGAATATTTAACGAAATCAGACTCAGAACATGCCCACAGCGGACACTATTAGGCGGTTTTCCCATACTTTGGGATCGGGTAAGTCAGCTATTCAAATGAGTTGGTTTTGGCTAGCACAAGCCATGCGGACAGCTTTATGGGATAATTTATAAACTAAAATCAATGGCCATAAAAATACAAATTGGCAGCTGTTTGCCAAACGAGTTAAGCTCGAGATGAGTAAGCTAAATGCGCACATGAGCAGCTAACAGATCGAAGTGTGTCCTCATTCTAGTCTCTTCTGTATATATTTCACTCTCTGGTTCTTTAGCTAGGAGATGTGAAGGAGCAGACGCACCTGGAAGTTCATGATGGCCTCGGATATTTTGATGTTTATGGGCTCCACAACCATAACAATGTTGAACGAGCCGAGCATGCGTTCGGCCACCTTGTCCATGGCCAGGGCAAAGTTCTCCCACTCGGCATCGAACTCGTGCAGATAGTGTAGACAGCCCTTGATCACATTTACGCAGTAGTTGGTGCATGGCTTTTCCGTATACCCTTTGCAGGCTCCGCAGTGCTGCATTTTGGTCAGCGCGCCAGTGCAGTCCGGATTGAGTCGAATCTGAAGAGAATTGAAATAGAAGTTAAACTAATTTCATGTCGTATAAAATCCATTTTCACTTACTGCCAATATCTTTTTGGAGACCTCGGCTGCGGTGATCAGTGCCTGGCCGTAGGTGCGTGTGGCCACAAAGGAGCGTTTGATTTGCACCGAGAGCTTGTCGGGCACATCGCCGAACGGCTTCAGTTCCTTCATGTGCTCGCTGACGCATTGCATGTATCTGGAATACGACGTGTGTTTCGGGCAAAATGTTAGCAAAATATTTTCATTGGCATTGGCCGGAAATCTCAGCATGTAAATGGCACAACGCTGAACGGCCCGCGCCTCCCACCGTCCATCTGCCCGATCTCCGGCTTCTGTATACACAGATTTTTATGTGCAAAGAATAATATGAAAAGAAGTTGTCTGACTGACTGCTTCACTGCGCGCCATGTGCTGCACGTAGCGCGCTGCACCTGCTCCTGGCCATGAGGCATGGCAGCTGTTGCACTTGTATGGCTGCCCCTCAACTCGACAATAGGAGAGTGAACTAGCAAATGGCTAAAACGCATCAAAAGGCTAGAGCCAAGTAACGGTCTTCTTTGTCAAATCTTAAGCATAGCTGAGAGCACAGATACAAATTAGTCAGCTGCTTGGCTGGCTAAATATATTACTGAGAGATAGACTATGTCTACGACGCAGCAATATTCTCGTTGCTGTATTTTATCTCTTTCTGTCAAAATACTCTAACACACACATTGTTGCTGTGTGTTTTGCCAAAACATTGACAGTCTCTTGGGGCACCCATTCGCTTGATTCCCTTCTGAATTGGGGGAGCAGCCCCTACATTAAATGCAGCACACTCGCTGGTGAAGTCCACTCTGGCAGCCCGCCGACCAACCGCATACAGCGAACAACAAATAGCAGGCAGCAAGTGCCAGCAATTACGCCGCCATCGTTGTCCATTGCAGTAAACGGACAACGTGCCAAAGCACGTACGACAAACTAAAGCGATGACAATAAAAACGAATCGCAGAGGAAGGCAGCGGCGGCAGCGGCGGCAGCAACGACAGCAATTGGAAAGCGCGTGGGTAACACGAGCCGTGCCGCGATGAGCAAAAGCTGAAGTTGAACCCGATGCCGAAGCCAGCGAAACAATTCGCCAAGCCAAGGCAAGCCAAGCCAAGGAATGGGTCCAGTGCAATGAGCCAAGAGCCAAGTGGGCGCAATTTAGCGTGTTGTAGGAAATGCGACCAGCTGCCACAGGAACTGCCTCAAAGTGGGCTCTCACACACACGTTATGTGTGTGCAGTGGGAGTACATACACATTAGGATTACGTTTGCAGCTCGCTCAATTAAGAGATGTACAAAACAACAGCTGCCTGATTAGCTGGTAATGCAGCCTATGAGTGGGATGTCGCCCATGGGCAACCAACTTATTTTTTGATAAAGAGTTTATCCAAAAGTTCACTCTGGGTCAAGTCCCCCAAATGACTCTAATTTGTAATGCTCTTTCTCTATATCTACTACGAGTGTAGGTACTATCCACATATACCCAACAAGTTAGCTAAGCTATTTTATATAAATTTAATGTATGTCTTTAGATACTATTGTAAGCAATTCCAAGTTTGAAGTATGAATAAGGTTTTTAGCCAGATTAGAATTATAAATTTAATTTGCTCCTAATTTCTATCAGTTTCTGTTATATATTTTTCTAGTTTCTTATAAGTTACTCTGTTACTCTGCAAGAAAGTGTAACTAGTCTTCGGCATTTAGAGTACCAAATTTAGCCCATTTCCTAGTTAAGCGTTTCAACCGCAAGCAACGCGACAACAATAAAACAAAAGGGCAATTCAGCCCATAGACCGAAAGCTGAAATTGCACACCAGAAGAGTCAAACAGGCAAGCAGCCAGGCAGTCAGGCAGCCAGGCAGGCAGCAGACATTCAGACATCCCGTCAACGTCAAAGATTCGTCAAAGCTTTCAACAGTCTTTGGCTTGACTCAGTCAGTCAACCGTTGACGCTCGACACTTTGCGGTTTCACACGTCTGTAACTTCAAATCTGTCAGGCGACGAGTGCCTTAATGGAGACTTTGGATCGGATAACGCGGGGAGGTGTATATGGTGTACATGGCATGGTACTCACTTTTCGTTGAAGTCATACTGCGCATTCAGCACAGTGAACATCTTTTGGTAGAGCGTGCTGAAGAACTTGTCCATCACATCCAATAGATCGACCCGTCCACGCGCATAGTAGTTTTCCAGTTCGTTAAACAGATCCGAAAAGACATACGAATGCTGCTGATAGATAACTCCATATGTTCGCATGAACATCGTGTGGAACTGTTCCCTCGATTCCAACAGCAATTTGCGAAAAATATCTATAAAAGAGACAAAACGACAAGAAGAAAATGTGAAAAATTAAGAAAATTCTATGAGTCGGTTTTATTGAAATGGGCCACTTCCGCCCTCCAGCCAACCGACTAAATGTTTCTGTGGTACTATTCTTAAATATTTGTGGCTTCCGCTGCACAAAATAAATCTCAACATCCGCATTGTCGCCTGCACACTTCACATTGTGTTGCTCTCTCTCTCACTCTCTGTACCCTCTCTCTTTCTACAAATTGATCTGTGTAACCCGAAGCCCGCATGATCCATGGAAATGGAAACCAATTCCACTCGACACCCGCAAATAGTTACAAATCTGTAAACTATAAACCATATAATCTGTTGGCTGTCTACGTGCAATTAGAATCGGGCATCTTCAAGTAGCTGTTGAGTTATATTTCTGGCTTTGCTTTGACTTACCATTAAATTTGGTAGCCTTGCCACCCAGCAGGCCCGACATCTTAGTTATCTGCTCCTTGGTATGCCACTCCAGCTGCTGGCGCGACTGTCCCGCCATGCGCGTCTCCATGGAGTAGGTGCAGCAGGTGCCCACCGAGGGCGATTCACAGTAGCGTAGCACACGTTCTGCAACAGCAAGAAAAGAAGAGTTTCTGAGTATATAGATTAAATAAATAATAAATAATATAAATAATAATTAAATAAATAAATGCATAATAAACTGCAAATTTGTATTGAATAAAATTAGAATAAATCCCAAGCAAGTTGGAATAAGCTTCACATAAGTCATCATAAAAATTATACTAAACACTTAATTATTTTTATTATTAAACAAGAATAAATTGATAAATAAAGTAATTTAGACATAATTTTATGAATAATATATTTATGTATGTCAACTAAATTCTCTTTTAGTCTGATCAAGCAAGCAATGATTAATGGGTATTGTTAGGTCTTATAAAAGTGCAAAAATAAATGCTCAATAATACTGTAATACAAATTAGATAATAATGAACAATTGATGTGTATTTACATGTTCAGCAGCTCAAATTATATTGGGAAGTGCATAAAGCAGCTTCTGTCTGCTCAGTTGATGAGCTGATGAGGCAGACCCGCATCAGTGTTCGTGTTCGTGTTCACAAATATTTGAAGCCAGTGAACTTGTGAGCGTTCTATTTGCTCGAGCATTAGGGAAGAACTGCTGGATGCATTCCAGTTGTTAGCACTGGTCACTAAACCAACCTCAACATCAACCTAACCAGAAGGCATTACAAACGGCAGCACATTATGCAGATTCCGGGAACTGGAACTTGCTGCCACTTGACATGGTAACCAAAAACCCAGACACCACTGGAAAAAAAGCAGCTAACTGCGTGCCACTTTGTTCGTTCAGATGAAAAGTAAACGATGCGTTTGGCTACCAGCCAGAGCAACAACATAACGAGTAACCGTAGCCGTAAACGTAAACGTAACCCGAACCCGAACCGATAAGGGCGTGGCAGCAGTGATTCTGGATGGATTTACGCAAACATTTAACACGTTCAACATCGGAGTTCAGGTAGTTTCAGAAGTAAACTGCTCTAAAAGCATTATGCATTAGTTCCATACAACATACAACGAAGTAATCACTGTAAATTATGCTGCACATCTCTCGTGCTCCACTGTTTCCTTCGATTTTTGTTCTGGCTTTTTATTTTTCGAGTTTTATAGCCAGAAAAACTTTTGTTTATTTAGACAGTTCTCATGAATGGATAACGACGAGCGCTGCATACAGTCCAAAAAGTTTAACGCTAATTGAAGGCAAACATGTTGATCTTTTTAATCAACTTTCTGAATACCCTTCTGCTGCGTGGGTATTAGGGAAATCGAATTCTTTCAAGTGAAAATGAAAACTTTCGTTTACAAAACCGACTGAGTGTGGGTAGTTTGTATCAGGCTAATATAGAAATAATTATATTTGTGATATTTATTTGAAAGGGTATTTAGAGTTGAGCTGTTGCAAGTACAAGTTGCTCTACACTTGACTTGGTCGGAGATCATAAATATTTTGCTATTCAGTTAAATGCATCATCCACATGCACAGTGCATAGAGGTAGAGAAGAATGTATCTTGTGTTTGGCTGTTGTTGTATTGTATTTTGTTTATTTCCAATATAAATTTAGCTACTTTTCGTGCACATTTTGTAAACAAATCTAGGTTCAGATGCGCTTCCCTCCAGCCCACATATATGCAGATGAAGTTCTCTCTATTTTGGGCAAGAGCAGCGGCGTTTGGTTCGTTCGGTTTTATGGTCTGCACTAATTGTTATGTTGCACAAGATATGAATTAAGTGTAGCATGTACTGCTACACAATGGGGTAACTGGAAGCCTTTGCTTATCTAAATTGGCTCGTTACCAACGGCAACAATTGTGGTCGCTTTTTCCATTAACTGGCTGACAGACAGCGTTTGCGGCTAGCATGGCTAATGTGAAGGAGCTGCCTAGGCTGTGCTATGCTTCGCTTTCCTTTGCCTAACATCCAAGTTAATTGAATTGCTGACTGAGAGTTGATAAAACAGAATGGTGTCTTAAGCATGCATCCTTTAACTGATACCAGCTGTGGATATCAGTTCGGCAAATTCCCATCATTAAATGTCGAGCCAAGTGTAACCACACATTCCACTTGGAATCGATAAATCGTTGCCAAAAATCGATGTTAAAATAACATTAGGGTGGACCGCTTGCCATTTTTTATGAATTGCTGCATAATTTCTTCACAGACAACAATAGCAGGCGGGGGACACGCGCATACCAAATGTGGCCAGCAGGCGGCGGCAGGAAGGTGTCGTGAACATAATAAATGACCTTAACTTAACGATATGGCAGTTTTTTTTTAGTGTGCTTCCTTTGGCTGACTCGTCGGAAAAGCACCCTGTTCATGTCTAATAGAAAACTCCAGCTTGCGCTTGATAAAAAGTAAGCTGGCAAAGCAATTTCTCTAACCACCCACCCCTGGCTGAAACCTGGGTCATATGTTGTCGTTGCTGCTGCCGTCGTTGTTGCTGAGCACACGCTATTTACTTAGTTGTCGGGGTGAAAGCAGTGGAGTGAAATTCATTTCAAATGATTTACTGTAACGATCAACAAAACGACTCCTGCGGCGACCAACGGGACACGGCAGCCACCCCTAAGGCAACCCAAAAATGTTAAAAGGGTGCGAAAGTTTAGCAACGCTTCGCGCACAGATAACAGCAAGGGGAGAGCCATTGCTGGGCGGTCAGAGCGTTCCAGCAGGTGTCTACTGTTACTCCCAGGCTCGTATTGTGTGAGCATGAGAGGCTGTTGGCAGCGAAATTATATTTTTGGTTCGCTGGTTCGCTTTGACAATCTGAAGCAGCTCTCAACAGACACTCACTCTGGCGCTTGACCCCGAAGCTCAGCCAAACAAACTAACAAAAATAAGGTTAGAATAGAAACCAAATCTTTTAAATACTTAAGTAACTAAATATACATGTATTTAAAATAGTTTCGGATTAACTATTTTTTATATTTCAATGAATACGAGTTAGCTTTATGGGTAGCCTGAAATTTCTTGGCTTTGCTGTTTTTAGCTTGGTAACTCTTTAATTCATAGAAGTATATTTTTAGTAAAGTTTTGTGGAAATGCTTTTCCCAAATGCTCCATTTCCATCCTGTCAAAGTTTAGCCATTCAACCTATTCAGCATATCCCTTGCTCATTCACACTCCTCTCCCTCTCTCTTTCTCGCTCAGTGCGTGCAGATAAAGGCACAAGCGAGCCACATTTGAAAACAGTTTGCGAGTGAAAAGCCTAACAAACAACAAACAAAAGAAGCAACACCAACAACAACAGAATTGCACATGTAACGGGACATAAGCAGACGGCAAAACTAAAAGCGGCTACACCCCCAAAAAATGAAACGAAGACAAAATTTCCCCTCTGCTGTTTGCAGGCTGCGAACAAACTTTACTTTTGAGTTGAGTTTCAATGAGCCACTATAATGCGGAGCGAGACAAACAATGCAAGAGATAGAGAGAGCCAGAAGGAAGGAGAGTGAGTGAGAGAAGGAGAGAGAGAGAGCAAAATTCACTCATCGCTTCGTCCTTTTTGGCTTGGCACAAAAATGCGACGCGGCAACTTTAACAGGCGCCCAGCAAACAGCAGCTGGTGGCAACTGTTGCACAGTGCAAAAGGGAAATGGATAGCCAGACAGACGGCTAGCCAGGGAGGGAGAGCGACTAGCAGAGCGAGGAGAGGGAGCAATGGAGAGAGCGCAGGCTATGCGAGAGAGCGCCAGCCATCGAAAGGGGTCGTTGCACGCATGGGAAACAAAGCTTTCACTTTCAATGGGGTTGCACATTGCTGCATGCTTTGGCGAGCGTGTCGAGCCAAAGGGGGGCTTTCCCTGTTAGTGCGGATAGTGCGGAGTGCAAACAAAATGGTCGATAAGCCAACTAACCCCCAAAAGCAGTTGTCGACCTCGCCGTCTGGCAAGGAAATTGCATTAAGTGAACTTCTCCCCAGACGCAAGCATCGACCCAAGACGTAGCGCAGCAGAAGGTTAACCAATCTCTGAGCTTATCTCGAGAAACCCTTGAATTTGACTTCGGGCTGCTCATTTAATTTGACTTCAATATCCGCCCGTCCTGTTTGTTTTTTATTTTGCACTTTGTGAACTGCTCCTTGCTTCAGTTTATGCTTATGGTAATGAGTTTTAATTAGGCGCACAGCAAAGCGAGAGCAGCAGCAGAGTCCGAAACGAGCCGAAGGCCGCACCATACCATCCACCAAGCCACCAAACCACCCACCCATCAAGCAACCACCCGGACTGAAATAAGTAGTTAAAGGGGTTGAGTTTTTTGGGCTCGACTACGGACGTTTTATTAAGTGTAAAAAGCGATGCCTGTAAATCTGAAAATAAAAAATTCGGGTATATGTGTGGAGCAACAGCTGGCACTACGATCCAAGAATTCGTTATAGCCAGTCAGAATTGGGTCAGTCTCAGCATGAGGAAATTCCTTAATACGTATAATTAAAAATCAGATCATCAACTTAATTAATACAAAATGTAATTGCTGCCACTTTCTCATGCCTGCTACGGCTGCTGCAGCTGCTTTTGTTTTTCTATTTGGGGCATGCCATTTGCACTTCACGTTTGTCGAAATTTTCAGTGCTGCATGTGAACTCGATGGTTTCAGCTTCAATACATAACTCAATTGCCACCCGCAGTCAGACAAAAGAATAACAAATACTTAGCCAAAGCTAAAGGTATAACAAAAATAAAAACAAATATTTGGCGTCTGCTTCGACCGCTCGCATTGAGTCGCACTTAATTAATTTTATAGCGCTGAACCTCCCGCCTGCCTGGGCGGAAAACCTTGCACAATATCTAGCAAGTGCAATTTGTATATTTATTCAGACTAATTGATACTACAGCACAGCAGGGAAGAGGGTCTAGCTATGACACGCCGAACTTTGAATACCCTATTGGATATAGACTTGTACCCACTGAAGATAGCAGGCATACAGCATATATTTATATTAAGAATTATATTTGTTTTGTATGTTAATTGCGTTTGTTGACAAATATTTTTAAAAAATTTAATATCTTGCACATTTTCTGAAGGG